ATGACGATTAAACCGGCGGTTCGAATCTCCGACGGGAATCTAATCATCAAAAACCGTACGATTTTAACCGGTTTACCAGAAAACGTCATCACGACGTCATCATCGGAGGCCGGACCGGTGGAAGGAGTCTTCCTCGGAGCGGTATTCGACAAGGAAGATAGCAACCACATCGTACCGATCGGTACGCTTCACGATTCCCGGTTCATGGCTTGTTTCCGGTTCAAGCTATGGTGGATGGCTCAGAGAATGGGCCAAAACGGCCGTGATATTCCTCTCGAGACTCAGTTCCTATTGGTCGAATCCAACGATGGGTCCCACCTCGAGCCTGACGGAGCAGACGGCGTCGAGACCAACCGTAAAATTTACACCGTTTTCTTGCCGTTAATCGAAGGATCTTTCCGTTCGTGTCTCCAAGGAAACGTTAACGATGACGTGGAACTCTGTTTGGAGAGCGGTGATGGCGACGTTAAACGCTCGTCGTTTACTCACTCTCTCTATATTCACGCCGGTACAGATCCGTTTCAGACGATAACGGACGCTATTCACACCGTTAAGTTGCATCTGAAGAGTTTTCGTCAACGTCACGAGAAGAAGCTTCCAGGGATCGTTGACTATTTCGGTTGGTGCACTTGGGACGCGTTTTACCAAGATGTTAACCAAGAAGGCGTCGAAGCTGGTCTGAAATCTCTCTCCGCCGGTGAAACGCCGCCGAGATTCGTCATCATCGACGACGGTTGGCAATCCGTTGACAAAGACGACGAAGATGAAAAGACTCCGGTTTTCCGGTTAACCGGAATCAAGGAGAACGAAAAGTTCCAGAAGAAGGATGATGCAAAAGTAGGTATCAAGAACATTGTCAATGTAGCTAAGGAGAAGTACGGTCTGAAATATGTTTACGTGTGGCACGCGATTACGGGTTATTGGGGAGGGGTTAGACCCGGGGAGGAATACGGATCTTCGATGAAGTATCCGATGTTGTCTAAAGGTGTCGTGGAGAACGAACCTACGTGGAAGACGGAGGTTATGGCGGTTCAAGGGTTGGGTTTAGTTAACCCCAAGAATGTGTATAGATTCTACAACGAGCTTCATAGTTACTTGGCTGATGCTGGTGTTGACGGTGTGAAGGTTGATGTGCAATGTATATTGGAGACTTTAGGTGGTGGATTAGGCGGTCGGGTCGAGTTAACGCGTCAGTATCATCATGCTCTTGATTCCTCTGTTGCTAAGAACTTCCCTGACAATGGTTGCATTGCTTGTATGAGCCACAATACTGATGCTCTCTACTGGTAAAGTCCTCAACATTATCTTCTATTTTGTGTGTTGATTGGAATGCAAAAGATTGAAACTTTTTGTTTTTTGTTTTTGTGGGATTGATGCAGCTCGAAGCAAGCAGCTGTGATTCGAGCATCGGATGATTTCTATCCGCGCGATCCGGTGTCTCACACTATTCATATAGCCTCGGTTGCATACAACAGTGTGTTCTTGGGAGAGTTTATGCAGCCTGACTGGGATATGTTCCATTCCGTGCACCCTGCCGCAGAGTACCATGCCTCTGCTAGAGCCATCAGTGGTGGACCACTTTACGTTAGGTGTGGATCTCTCACAATTCATTCCAATTTTACATTTACTTGATCTTGGCTAGTGATTGCAAACTTACATACTTGTTGTTTATGTTCTTGATGAGTAGTGATGCTCCTGGAAAACACAACTTTGATCTTCTGAAAAAGCTTGTGTTGCCTGATGGATCGATTCTTCGTGCTCGATTACCTGGTAGACCAACCCGCGATTGTTTGTTCACAGATCCCGCCCGCGATGGTGTCAGGTAGAGCAAATTGGCTTATGAAAGATAAAGTCTTCACAAATTTTGATTGCTCATTTTCTTGCTATGCATTGTTTTGTTTCAGTTTGTTAAAGATATGGAACATGAACAAATACACTGGAGTACTTGGTGTGTATAACTGTCAAGGAGCAGCTTGGAGTAGTACAGAAAGAAAAAACATCTTCCACCAGACGAAAACTGATTGCATCACTGGCTCAATTCGTGGTCGTGATGTGCATTTGATATCCGAAGCCTCTACTGATCCATCTGTTTGGAATGGAGACTGTGCTGTTTACTCTCAGAGCAGAGGTGAACTCAGTGTTATGCCATACAATGTCTCTCTCCCAATCTCACTCAAAATCCGTGAGCACGAGATCTTCACCGTGAGTCCCATTAGGCATCTGGAAGCTGATGGTGTCTCTTTCGCCCCGCTCGGTCTTGTCAACATGTATAATTCAGGAGGAGCTATCGAAGGACTTAGCTACGAAGCAGAGAAGAAGAAAGTGGTAATGGAAGTTAAAGGATGTGGTAAATTCGGAGCTTACTCATCGGTGAAGCCTAAGAGATGCGTTGTTGAGTCAAATGAGATCGCGTTTGAGTACGATTCTTCCTCTGGTTTAGTCACTTTTGTGTTGGACAAGATGCCTTCGGAGACCAAACGATTACATTTGATCGAAGTTGAGTTATGAATCTTAGCTTATAAGAGTGATTCACATATTCATTAAACTGAAAGTCTTTAAAACTGTTTTAAGGTGACA